CCTATTGATACTATTGGAAGAGAAGGACCTCCTTCATCATTAATACAGTATATATGGAATGGTAAGTACTATACACACACATACTCATTGTATTTCTTATAGTACCAGCTCAAGTTGTTAATATTAGTTGGGATCAGATATCAACTGATGGTATTACAATATGGTGGAATAACAATGAAGTATGTTAAACATTATTATTAAGAATTATATTTTATTTATTATTACAATAGGATGCTTCAATGCATTATCCTCCAGTACATTACATTATAAATGTAAATCCACCTCATAATAATATTAGTAATACAACTAAGACTAATAATGAGCATGATTACTGGACTACCTCTTACTGATACAAACTACACTGTTACTATCATTCCTGTTAATGTTATTGGATATGGACCATCAGCTACTGTTAATGGTATGTATTAATTAAAGCACTGTTGAGAGTAGGTTACGGAAATTATTGCACGAGGGGCAGTCGAGAGGAAAATGTAGCACGAGGCGAAGCCGAGTGCTACATTTTCCTCGAGACTGTCCCGAGTGCAATAATTTCCGTAATCTACGAATCAACAGTGCTTTGATTGGTTTGTAGTGGTGCGTGGGCGGATCAAATGAAATTTCAAAAGTCGCGCAGGTGGCCAGCACAAGACGATCAGATCTCATTTATCACTATTATTATTGTTACATGTCTAGTGTATGTAGCTGAGGCTGTTATTTGCCTCTATCAAAGCTTGTGGTTAACAGGAAAGCCCATACATATTATACTGTGCAGTACTATATATTCCACACAGTGCTACATTTTCCTACCATGCGTTTATTGGAAGTTGTAGCACTAGCGGTGCCTTTGATCCGCCCACGCACCATACTACAAGATTAATTAACATCATAATAATACATGTATTATATTATATCACTCTCATACTTGCAGTAGGTAGTGTAGCTACAATCATCAATAGTTCATCGGTGCTTGTATCTTTAGGTAATACAGTAGTCAGTATCACTAACATGATCAGTATTACTACTACTACTACTGAGTATATAACTGCATTACATGAAACATGTACTGTATTTACAAATACACACTTAGCACTTGGTAGTAAGCTATTGTAAAAGTCAAAACAATATCGTATATTAATTTTTATTTAGGTTCTTCATGTATTACCAATACATGTACAATATCACCATCAATATGCACAGGATCCATCATCAGTGGTTAGTTAATGTATGTACATATCTATTGTATCTATTATACACACACATTCAGTTGCTATTGCAGTACCTATCACTGGTCTATTAACTGGACTCATTACATCAATAATTACTAGTATCATTGTATACTGTATAATGAAGAATAAAGGAAATAAACAACAACAAGGAGGAGGAGCAATATATGATTTACCAATAATTGATAAACAACAACAACAACAAGATATTAATACACACACTAACACTGCTTATGGACATATTAATTAGTAACTGTTCTTTGAAAAACACAAAGTAGCAACACAGTAAAGACATACTACAAAAACAATAGTAGTAACATAGCACAATTGCAAAATATTATTTGCAGTTATTACTTTTGAGGCTTAAATCAACTACACAAGAAAGTTACTGTTTTAAATGACTTAAAGAGAAGTATCACCTCCTTTCTCCTCACCAACAGATGGATTCTTTAGACCAATAGTATTCCCTTCTTTTTCTAAGATAAAGATGATTTATTAATATGAATAATTACGAACTTTACCTTCAGCATCATAAGTACAACAATCATAGCAAAAGAAAATTAACCAAAAGCTACTCCTCCAAATCCTGGGACAGCAACATTGTCTCTTCCAACATATCCTCAGCACAATCCAACATATAGACAATATTATTAATATACCAAGTACAATGAATGGAGCAGCAAATACAACAGGATCACCAATAATAGGAGATGTGTAATTTCCTAAATTAAATTACATAAAAATGCTTTAATACTATGATTATTGTTACCTGGCACTGTTTCTGTCACAATTGTTGCAAAAGTTTTTGTTACAAAAACGGAATTGTTTCTAGTTTGCGTCACATTTATAACTCTTTCCAGATCTCCAGATAAAACTATTGACAAAAAACATGTAGTGGGCTATTTTTGTGAGCCGGGGCAATTTGTGGTTTTAATTATTCTACATCACCTGTAAGGGGATGGCACTTCAATAATTTTGTGCATGGTACACCTTAACAAATTTTAATAATAATAAACCTTAATCCTTGTATTATAAAGGTGATAAATGTCAAAGGGAGTTGACTTTAAGACAATCAAGATAACCAACTTACTATTAATATCACTCGATATACCAGCATCATTAATAACAGTTATATTATATCTGATATTAGTATCAGATGATAACACAACATTATTAAAAGGAATGGTATCATTTCCTAAACATGATCCTGTATCACTACCTACAATAATGCTGCAGTTATTAATTGGAGGCTGATTATGACGACGACCCTAACAAAAGCATAAGTATAAATAAATAGGATAAATATAAAAATATTTTCACTGCCTGATTTACCTGAATTGTGAAACTAAGAATATTTTCATCCACATTAAATTTAAGCCCCGATGTAAACTCAAAAGCTAAATGCTATAATAATAAAATAATACATCATTATAATCTTACGTCTCCAATTGTAGGTTTCACTTAAAACACCAATTATATCTCCAAGATAACCAACAGTAATTAATTCAAATTTGTATGTATCCACATTAGAAAATGTATAGTTGTATGACAACTCATTGGCTGTAGTCACTAAAACTTCATTAACACTAATATTATAGAACTGAAAACAGGTAGCAGCTCTCCAAGTCATAGCGGCTATACTTTGATATTGTATATACCTAAGTTTAAAAGAAGTGGCTGCTGATGAAGCTAGAAAAAAGAAAAAACTATGTTAGTCAAAGGTATACAGGTATATTGTACAATGAAGCATACATGTATATTTCACTAAGTAGCTGCTAAAATTAAATTCTGCAAAATATACACTCAAATACAGTGTAAGAATCAAGTGTCATAAGTAACTTACGACACTTAACACTTATTCGTATCTTTCCTGTGAATGATGTTTATGATTTATAATGATATTCACTGGGATACTGTGAATGGAAAATTTTTAAAAAAATTTTGGAAGTGTCGTTCAATGGAGTTCGATACACTTTCTGCCGTATTGTAAGAAGAGCAAGCAGTTATAGCCTCTAAAGTGAAAAATTGCAACCTTTATCTTTCTTTTCATAGGTCTGCAACTGTTTAGAGCCACTGGAGTGGCGTGGAGAAGTAAAATTGACAGTTTTTAGCCTGTCGGTCCATTGTAGCAAATGATAGTATACCTCCACAATGGCGGCCTGAAAAATTTTCTATTTATGGTATCCCAATGAATATCATAATAAATCTTCGCAGCTTAAAATGAACAAGCATAACAGTATAAAAATATTCCTATAATTGATTTCACCACCTTGCAAGTACAACTTGGTCATTATTAAGACTTATAGAGGCTCTCTCTAACTTATAATGCTTCTAGAGAAGTCTTTAGACAGTATCTCTATGCTCTCTTGCTGTTAGAAAGCTCTTAACTTTGTCCCATGTGTAACTCGCCATTTTTTGATGTGGCCACACCCACTTATGTAAACAAGTGTGGGCAGATGGTAGCTAAGGCTTAGTCTCGCATAGCCAGCCCCTCCCTCAATGGGAGGAGCTGGTCAAAAGAGTTTACATCACTCGTTCTTCATGAGTTGGGGCAAGCCCAGCGAGCCCCACTAATCTCAGGCAAGAAGTCTTCTGTATATTTGTATGCATGTGAGTCTCCAGTCACGCCTATTCTGCTCACGCCCATGCGTGTGTGCTACTATTTAAATTTCAATGGTCTAATGCGGTAGCTTAATTTTCAATTTTTCATTGATTTAGGTGTGGTTGCAATGAAACAAAATGGCGTTTGTGGAGGCTATAAAACAGGAGCAAGTCTTGAGCTTACTTGCAGCAAGTGTCTGTTGTCCAGACACTTCTCCAGCAGCAAGGAACTTAAGAAAGCAGAAATAAAATATTTCTTGTGGTCCTTTGTCATTGTTCAATGACTATAAATGATAAATTCTGCAATTTTCGCATTTTGGAAAAATTTGCAAAATTTAAATCTGCAAAATAGCGTGCTAGCGCTATACCTGATTGTATAGTGGGTGTGGTAATTATATTGAAATCACGAAATTTTTATTCCCGGATACAAAAATGCAGCCAAATCGTGAAATTTTATACGCGTAAAATATATGGCATATACAGTAAGTCACTGATTTACTTTTCATTGTATCATAAACAAGCGTATAAGTGTAAAAATTGTCCTAAGATTGATTTCACCACCTTGCGCGTGTAGTAGGTATTTATTTCTTCTTACTAAGACTTATAAAGGTTCTTTCTACCTTCTAGTGATTCTTGATAAGTCTTTAGGCATCATCTTTGCTTTATTCTTCTTGCTAGAATTAGGAAGTTCCTAACTTTGTTCTGCTTCTATGCCGCCATTTTTTTTGCCGTGACCACACCCACTTGCGTGAGGGGGCTGGGTGGAGCATTGCTAAGTGAGTCAAAACATAGATAATAGAGTAAATGAAAGGGATTGGAAAAGGGTGCGTGGGCGTAGCCCAACCTCCATTCATTTGTATTGTTGCTAAGCAAACCGAGGCTTGTTGTAATTTTGTCACCATTTTCATGCTACTTTTCCTTCTTTTAGGAGCAATATCTGGCGAAAGACTGTTCTCATGTTAGTGAAACTGATGCATCAAGAAGCCTAATGTTTCCTCTCAATATTACTGTTATCTATTGTGCAAAAAATGTTATAGTTTTCACGATACAGCCCATTTTTCCTCTTAAAATGCCATTTATTCCATTATTCTCCCTTTTCTCAAAACATGCTAAAGTAAAACTGGAAACCATTATAATCATATGAAAGGCCTTACACTTTCCAAAGTAATTATACAGGTTAGAGTCAGAATCTATGAAGTATGAGTTTGTTACAAGAGCTAAAGTGTACCGAAAATAGTTGATTTTGTTGTACCTATAACTGATTGCAACATAGCTTTACAGAGA